TTAGCTAAATCCATAGGTGATTGCTACCCACACTTACATACAAAAGCTCTTTGGATGAAGCCACAGATAACAGGAATACACTTCCTAATTTCAGAGTTTGATCTTTTAGATTGTAACTATGAAAATGCATGTGTTGATTGGCCCCAGAAAACTGGATGATGACCTATTTTAATGTAACATTTTCATGGTTTTTTTTTTTTGGCTGCGTCGCGCGGCTTGTGGGATTTTAGTTTCCTGACCAGGGACTGAACCTGGGCCCTCAGCAGTGAGAGCGCAGAGGCCTAACCAATGGACTACCGGGGAATTTCCTCAGGTTCTTCACGAATATTCCAATAAATGTATTTCATTACTAAATGATCATTTGAAGAATTACAATATGACAATTTATAATTATGAATTTTAAGGGCTGCATAACACTTTCTGATGCAGATACCTTTACTAAAAAGCTCTATTTTTATTGGCATTAGTAATTTCCAGATTGCTACTTTTCGCATGGTGACATACATGTGCCTACAAATTTTTGCTTCTGTTGAGCCATATCTCAAGTGGAATATTATAGCCTTCTTAACTCCATCTCCATATTCACAGATGTTTCTTCTACTTTATTTTCTGTTTACAACCTCACAAATAGTTTGGAAGTGTACCATAATCCCTGAAGTGAATTTTTAAAAACTTGCTTTGTAATTTAATTGATAAAATTATTATAAAATGGTACCTTTGTGACCAGCTAGAAGGGTGGGATAGGGAGGGTGGGAGGGAGGGAGACACAGGAGGGAAGAGATATGGGGACATATGTATATGTATAACTGATTCACTTTGTTGTAAAGCAGAAACTAACACACCATTGTAAAGCAATTATACTCCAATAAAAACGTTAAAAAAATGGTACCTTAAGGTTGATTTGATTTGTGTTTATTTCAACTTTAGAAAGAATAACTTTTTTTCCACATGTAGGTAGAAAAATTACAGTGTGATACCAGGAAAGAATACTATAAATGCTAGGATGCAGTGACCTTTAAAGTATTCTAAAATAAAACTGTACACCCCAGAGGATGCAGAACTTTTTGTCTCTCAGCAGATCCTACTCTGACTTCATTCTCATCTATCAAACATGCCTAAAAAGTCAGTCTGGAGAACCCAGAAGAATTCAAGTATTCCTCCCTCTTATGTCAATCCTGAATAAGTGTCGAAGTTACTGTTTGAGGAAAGAATCTGGGATTCAAATTGGCCTCTAGCTGCCTGGTTATACAACTTGAAGGAGTTACCTATATCCATGACCCAGTTTACTCATCTGCCAAATATACGTATTTTTAACTGTGCTCGGAGCTATGAAGGCAAAATTGCATAAATGATAGTTCTAATAAAAGATCTAATGCAAAGAACCCTGACATATGAGGATCTGTGTGCGTGTGTGTGTGTGTGTGTGTGTGTGTGTATACATGTGCTATACTAACCAACATTCATTAAGTCCAAACACAGTAGAACTCCGACGTGAAAACCCTGATGCTATCTATTCTTCAATTAGTGTATTCTTTAGTCCAGTCTTTTGGTAATTGCCCCAAAGCCCGCCAAACACTAAAAAGTAGTAACTCTGTCCTAAGCACCAATTCATTAGTCATGGGTGGTCTTAACCGGTTAGAACATTATAACAGAATTCTGTGGCTAGCCAGGTTCTTATGATAATATAATTAAATCGAAAACAAGGGATTTTAGTTTTCTGTTCTCCTCAGCCTCCTCTCCCATTCTTGACTCCTGAAATTAAAAGCTATGATTTTATTTTTTGGTTTTTTTTGCCATACGCGGGCCTCTCATTGTTGTGGCCTCTCCCGTTGCGGAGCACAGGCTCCGGACGCGCAGGCTCAGCGGCCATGGCTCACGGGCCCAGCCGCTCCGTGGCATGTGGGATCTTCCTGGACCGGGGCACGAACCCGCGTCCCCTGCATTGGCAGACGGACTCTCAACCACTGCGCCACCAGGGAAGCCCTATGTTTTATTTTTAATGTTATTTGAGGATTATATTTGCTCCAGTAATTTCCTTAGTCACTGTCCTAAAATCAATCTGGTTGACTTGAAGAAAGTGATTTTTAGTGAGTTGGAGAGAGAACTGGCAGTAGAGAGTTGACTGATTTTATGCCATGGTGCCTTGACTTCCTTCTCAGATCTGAAATACTGAAGCATTTCATATATATCATGGGAATGGTGTACGGATATGCTTACTATAATTGTATAAAGTAAATGATAATAAATGACTACAGCTGAATTCAGTAACTAAACCCTCTGGTCCAAAAAGTCTGCCATCAAATGGACGGGAAGAGTAAGTACCCTTGAAGGAGCTCTGTTACTTCCTGGATGGATGGATGGATGTGTTTGGGGAAGTTACCTGGCTACTCTGAGACCTAGATCCTTCCAACTGAGAAACAAGGAGAATCCTTGTTCATAAGATTCAATCCTTGAATTACCTGACATAATTCCTGAGGCATACGTATCTTGGAGAAGTGTCAAACGACATCACAAATGTGTCTTCATAAACATGTCATCTAGTTCATGAAATTTACAGTGCTACATTGGAAGATTTTGAAAATAAACGTTAATATTCCAGTCTACAAAATAGGTCTTTTCTAGAGTACATTTTGATGAAATTACTGACTGTACTACTAGAAGATATAATAGCTAGGTCAGAAAAAATTCATAATTCTTGGTATAATATTTTTGTAGAGAGGAAGAATATCTTTATTTCTTCTTTTATCACAAATATTGCAAACTTTTTTTTACTTCTGTTTAGCAAAATACCTCACATTTCCCAGAGAGGAGAATTTCATTCAAGATACTCTGTAAGTTTAAATAATATTTCACTTCTCATTGATATATTAGAATATGTTACAAGAGACAGTGCAAAAATCCTAAAAAAATAAGTATCAGATTGAAACTATTTTGAAATACATATATGACTTTTTATTTTTTAATCTTGCAGGTCTCTGTATTTATTCTGTCAAAGGGAAGTTTTCTTGCATCAGGGAAATTAAGATAAATTCTGTCCCACAGATAGTTGCTAGAATCTGCCTGAGCCCCGTAAGTAATGCTAAGTCAGTGGGAGGATAAGAGTACAGGACAATATCTCCGGAATTTTTCTCTCTCACATGAAACTCTAGCTCTGAAAAAGCTCCCAAAATGATTTAGCTCCTATTTCCATAAACACAATCTTTAGAGGCTCAGCCACTTTTTCAGCAAATCCAAAAATAAACCCAGTCTCTTCAACTAGTCACTCCTCACTTAATATTTTGAAATATGATACAGTACAGTGTTTTGCAAAGTTTGAAAACACACCAAAATTTTAAAGTAATTGCTACCATTCCATTCAGCTAAGGAAAGAAAAGTGCATAATAATAGAGCATATATATCTGTAAAAAGAAAGAAAAAGCAAAATGTATAAAAAAGTATAGGCTGTAATGTCTTGGAATTGTAGTCATTGGATTTCAAACATTTTGGGGGAATTTTAAAGAAAATCATACTTTTGCTATTGAGGTTTATTCAGTCACTTGGAAAGATATACACGGTGTTTGGAAACAAAGATTTAGTCCTTACATTTATATTTATATATATATATATACATATATACATATACACATATATACACACACACATATATATATGTACACACACACATATATATGTATATACACATATATATAAAATATATATGTATATATATAAGACAAATTTGAATTATTTCAGAGTCTCACTCTAAAGTTTACTTGCAGTAGTATTTCCCATTTGGGCAGCAAGATTCAACAAGCAGATTATTTTCTGATAAGTTGATTTCCTTCTCAGAACTTGGTTTCATACTAAGATTCATTTATCAATATGTAGAATACTAAAGTATGATTTGGTTGCTAAAAAAGTAAAGGCATTAAACTTATTAAATTTAGTTGAACCCAAGTTAACACGCTTCTTTCTTTTTCCTCTCTGTCACACACCCAGCAGATGTCATTTTTCAGAGCTGTGATCCTGTTACATCCAACGACATTTTAAATAAGTGCTATTTAATGCTTCAAAAAATAGGAAGGGAAAGCATGGAATCTTTTTGAGACAGATGACAGAAGAGTGTGCGTTTTTATAAAGCATCGTAAGGAAACAGGTGACTGAATCATTTCTCCCTCTCTCTTCTCTCACACACAGGTCCCCTCATTTCCTGTGTCCTGTTCACACATTCTTCCTGAGGTTCTTTACCTTCTCCTGAGAGCAGGCGAGAACACAAACATCCTTAGGATCAATCTAGAAGTGGCTAGCTCTCCTAGGCTGCAGGTGGGGGAAGGGAGCTGAAGAGTGTGAGAGGCAGTCAGGGCTCTGGGGGAGCGATGACAATAAACTACTGAGGTGACTTAGATCCCAGGTCATAGTCTATTCTCTGCAGTATTCAGACTTCATCAAGGAAAAGCTGAGCTAGACCAAGTCACAAAATGCCCCAAACTAAGAAAACTAAGAAAATCATTAGACATACTGAGCTTGATACACATTTATTTAGCACTGATTTCTTGGTGAAGGCGACGTATTATCCACCAGCATTAGTCCACACAACACCCAAGAAAAGTAGAAAAAGGCACCCCCTTTGGGCAGACACACCTAGGTAGAACACATGGTTTGCAAGTGGGGCTGGGCTGGTCCCAACATCCTCTGGTGGCCTCAAGCAGCAGCTTTATGCAGAGTATAATCTGAACAACTGGACATGGGGATCCTATTTACATAGATCTTTCTCGTTAGTGCTTTACAAATCATAAGACAAGAATAATATAACTAGAACATGTATTTACAATCATTGCAGAGTAGTATTGTGTCAGACTGAGAATTGTAAGATTTTCATGAGCAAATACCAACTTCACTCAGTACAAACTCAGGTGAGCATAAACTGATACTTGATACCGATTCCCTGTAATAAAGTAGCCAAAGAGCAAGGAATAAAAGTCACTCTCCTTGTTTATACTAACAGGAGAGTGAATACTTACCACCATCTTCAACTGTAAAATGGAATATGTCACTTGTGGCATTAGCCCCTTCTCTCAAGACGTAGCATATTTTCATATCATCAATGTCAGCTACAAAAGAACCAAATAAGAAGATGATTAATTACTAGGGCAAAACTGGTGACTCATCATTTATGGTAAATCCTATTGGCTATTACTTTTCTGAGCCATGTTTAGATCTCCTTCTCCTCCTAAGGGAAAG